TAACTAGCTAGCTTTAAAAAGAATTTGATAAAATTTCTCCCCACAACACAGGATATTTTGTCAAATATACAACATTAAGAGATTTCGTGAAACTTTATTCCAGCCGGCGCTCCTCATATGGGTGGATTGTGGGAGGCCGGAGTTAAAAGCGTAAAATTTAATTTTCGACGCATCGCGGCTTCTTCTTTTAAAGAACTTCAAACAATTCTTTGTCGCTTTGAAGCTTGCGACAGTTCCTAACCAATATTGCCAAATTCTAACGACGTTGCGGATTGTGCAGCCCTTACACCTGGTCAGGGCCCCTGATCCTTCAATTGAAGCGGACCTAATTTCGTTAATAAATCCGTGGCAAGACGAAAGTCCTTAGCCAACAGTACTCTCTTCGAAGCAAAGAAAAATACCTAAAGGAACTACATAAAATCTACAACCGGAAGTGTCCTCAAAAGGATGATTCCATTGATGACCTTGTCGTGGCTCATCATGGAAATCTTCCTCTTATTGAATTGCACTTGTCAGAGTTACAAAAATCTATCCTGGTAATGATCGACGCCAACGGTAGCCAAGTGGTTAGCATTGCGTACTGCCATTCGGAAGGTTCGGGTTCAAGTCCACGTGCGACCAACATCCAAATGTTATAGAAAATTAATTTAAATAAAAAATTAAGTTAAATTTTCTAATTGCGGTCGCCCCTCGGCAGGGAATGTCAACCCCTCCGAGTGTATTTCTGACATGAAATAAAGCTCCTCATAAGAAAACCATCAGCCGTTAGGAGGCGGCTTAGTATAAACTGAAGGCCCCTCCATTTGCTGGGATAACATCATGACGCAAAACCACAAATTGGAGGAGGAGCTTGGCAGAAAATCGCTCCAACGGTTACAAGGCGCCAATTATATTATATATTATTAATGATCGGAGAGTTCGAGTAGTCGATATTCGTATATAAAAAGAAATGATAACAATTGTGAAATTAGTTATTCTACCATGCCAAGACACCCTCATCCACTGAAGTACTGCAAGAGATTCCTTGATGCAAATTATGAACGCCGTCTTCGACTAGTACTTTTACACCGGTATTGTCCGAAGGAACGGATAATGTAACATCATATGCCTCGACATACAACGGTCACCTAATACGTTCACATAGAGCAACGACGTTTTTTAGCGCCTGTCTCAAGGCGAGGCTGATTACTAAGGTGAACTTAATAAAAAAAAATTGAAAATATCTTTCATACTTAATATCATTACCAGCTATTTTCCGAAACTATACATGGACATATACTGACAGAAGAATTTCTTAATGCAGTGTTAAAAGCGCAAGGTCTGGGCAGTGATGACTTCCTTTATTCAAGCACCCAAATGACGTATATATGTACGGCGTTGTCAATGGTCAGCTGGCTTCAGTTGTTGTGTGCGATGAACCTTATATGGATGTACGAGTACATAGATGTCAGTTCATGTGCAAATTACGACATTGTGCGTCGTTAAAAGCTCCAAGCTTTTAAGAACGTCGAGAAATAGTCACATTCAAGTCTTCGGCTACATTTTTTCTATAAAATTTTACAGAATAAAGAACGAAACGTGCCCACGACTGAATCACCATTTTTGTAGTATGCATTAAGCGATCCATTTTCATAAATGCCTGACTTTTAACTCCTACTATTAAAATTGTTTTTTTTTTGGCAGATATAAATACAACTCTGTACCTTTGCAACCACGGAATGTATTAAAAAATGTTAAAATACTATTAGGAATTATTTGGTGATCAAAAAATTTAATTCGATTTAGTCGTTTGTATGTGATAAAAGTAGATAAAAACGGTTGATTTTCCAAATTTCGAGCCGTAGGAATTTATTTACTAGATTTTTAAATAAATATTAACTAATGTATCATGCATCTTCGGCACGAAATGTTTTCGATAACCACCATTCCATTACCCGCGGTCAGAGAACGCAAATCAACGAAAAAATTCAACTAATAATATTGTGGTCTGAAATATTAATATTTTTCTCCAACTAATATTGTTTACGTTCACATCTTGTTCTTCTTCTTTATCGGCGCTGGCATCGCTAACGCGATTAAAGCCGAATCAATATTAGCGCGCCATTCAACCTTTCCTTTTGCTGTTTGGCGTCAGTTGGAATGCCAAGTGAAACAAGGTCGCTCTTCATCTGATCATTCCAACAGCCAAATTCCTAACGCCTATTCATAAGATGTTAACATCGTCCACACATCTGCGCCATATAGCAGGACGGGTTCGATAAGCAACTTGTAGAGTTTGGTTTTCGTTCGCCGAGAGAGGACTTTAATTTTAAATTGCCTGCTCAGTCCAAAGTAGCAACTGTTGGCAAGAGTGATCCTGCGCTGTATTTCAAAGTTGAAATTTTTGTTGGTATTAGTAACAGTTCCCAGATAGACGAAATCCTGCACGACTTCAAAGTTATGAATGTCAATGTCGTGCGAGCCAAGCCACGATTTCGATAAAGTAAGCTTATCCCACGATAATTGGCGCAGACTGTGAGACTGCCTTTTTTATGGGTTGGGCAAAGCACACTTAGGTATCCATCGTCGGGGATGCCTTCGTCCGACCATATTCCGCAAAGTCGCTGATGCATGGTCATCCGGTTCTAAAAACCTTCTGTATGTCGTTGTATTTTCTCATAGAATTTTCGAGAATTTTCCTTGAGCGCCATCTTCTCAAGCTCTTTATACTCACACATCTTGGCCTCTTTCTTTTTTTGTCGGCAGATGCATCTCGCTTCCTTCTTCAATTCTCGGTTTCTACCCCATTCCGCACGTGTACTGGTCTATATCAATGTTGCGGCAGTCTGTTTTCTCTCCACTGCGACTCTACGGTCCCCATCATACCAGCTGTTTTTGCGACCTTCGCGAAAGCCAATAGTTCCATTGAAGCTGTACGTAGGGAGTTTGAAATTCCTTATACCGGGTTAATGATGAGAGCTCTCAGAGGGCAGGAGTACAAGATGAGTAAGAAAAGCATTTGGCAGTCCGTTGTTACTGCATCTTTTCGACATCGTATCATCTTCGTTTTTGTTGACGGACGTTCTTGGACATACAGTGGCGAGTGCATATCTTCGCTGCAACAAAATAGTTATGAGTTGATGTTGGGTCTTCGGAGTATATGCACGTCAAGAATGCTGGAAACATGTTTTCCATCTATTACAACATGATTGATCTGGTTTTGTGTTTTTCGATCTGGGGACACCCAAGTATATTGGTGATGTTTTTTGTGCTGGAATTTAGTACTAGAGACAACCATATTTCGGATCCAAGCCAAAACGATCATCCTCAACCCTTTAGGGGATGTTTCGTTGTGAAGGCTGAATTTTCCGACAGTCGTTTGGAATATATCTTCTTTGCCCACCCCAACATTAAAATCGTCAAGCACGATTTTTACATCGCGGTATAGGCGCTCATAAAAGGCAGCTCTGGCCAAATCGTCCTTCTCTTCCGTCGGAGTCTAACTCCCACCACAAATCCGACACCAATTTATGCATCGCTCTTCTTGGACGGCGGGGATCTCAGCCTTTATTTTTAATGAACCTTAAATCATTTGCGAGGGTCACCATAAGAAAAGAGGGTCTCTCATCCGGTACGTTGTAAATTTGTTCATAGAAACTGATTTCTACGTCCCAAACCCAGCACATACCCTTACTATGCGTATAAGTCGGAGTGGCTCCACTAAAGCTTCTTCTCATTAGCCGTAATCTATAAAATTTGTCTACATTTATTGTTTAATAATCTACACTAGTTCACTTACACATGCATTAAGGTGGAGCTGATGATCACTCAGGACTCCAAAATTTCTAATTTCTAATCAAATAAATTTAAATAATTGGAAGAGACAGGAAGAGGGGCGCAAAAAGTTGAGCAGAAGTTTTATAATTATTTTAGCGTGTACAGTTTTTCACTGAAACTTATATGGTGGTGGTTTTTTATTTATTGAAAAAATATATGTATTTATTTACAAAATATAAATAAATACGGTTTTCAAAAACCATTTTTTGAATTTCAATTCGAGAGTAGCTACCAATCTATTAAATTTCAAATGAATCGAATCATAAGTAAGATTTTCTCGAATAAATTGTTAATTTGTTTTCTTCCCTTCTGAAAACCTCCTATCAAATATGAAAAATCGGGAAAAAAATTCTGTGCAAATCTTTCCAACTATAAAATTTTCCAACCATTTTAATACACATAAATAGGGTTTCTCATTGAGTAAGACGGCATATGTAATAAAAGTAAACTTCTCTCATTCTGAGAGTTATTTTTTCTTTCCCTTGGAAACAAAATTTCCATATGCTGCATAATTCAATTAAATGACAAATGCACGTAGGTACACGCTATGGAGTTTCTTGCAAGGATACGGATCCCTTTTTCGTATGCGCACACCTTGCTATAAAGATCCAACTTGAATGAATCAAGCGAATCTGGTCTGTTATACTTGGCTACTTTTGGAATTCTAAATATTCATACATTAGTAAGAATCATAAATAAGATTTTGTTACAACCTTCGTTTTTTATATCCTAATACTATCCAAATTCCCTTGAAGTCATTTTCTTTTCCTCCATGTCTAAATTCAGGCTTGAAAACTCTTTCTTCATGGTGAAGTAGGTAGAATTGGTCAAAAAAGCCCCCATCCGGCAAGCCAGTTCAGGCTAACACCACAATGGCTAGTGGCCACTTACCACCTATTGTCCGTCCTTTATCTATCCTTATTTGTTATTAGCCAGCAGCCAGTTATTAGGCATACTTATTCCTGACTATCACCTATAAACGTTGCATATATAAATACAGTGGCTCTAAAAATAACTCGGACATACATTCCAGTGTTATTAACATTCAACTTTAAGCCAGTTTTTTTTAACTTTTATATTTCTATAGGGTATCCAATAAAAATTTAAAAAATTCCGATAACAAACAAATTAAATAGTTTATAGGTCTCCTTTACCCTTGCGTCATAAAATTAACATGTGTCATGCTAGAAATATATTGTGTGTAAATATAAATTCAAACTTACAGTTTCAGTTGTTTTTTCCAACCTAAACTCATTTTGCCACCATGTTATAACGGCAGGCGGCCTCCCTCCAGCACTTTGGCATAATAGGTCATATCGCCGACCTGCAGAAAGAGCTTGACGTGCACCGAGTAAGCGAATATTTAGTGGAGGAACTGATGTATAGAAAAAAGAGAGAGAAGAAATTAATTAAATTGATTATTTTCTGAATAAAATCATTCATAAACTAGATGAACTATTTATAAGAAAATCTCGCAATTTGTTTTTATAAGAGATTCGATGAATCTATGATTTTCGTCGCTAGTTCGCTAGATAGAAAATTATAATACACCGTTAATTTCGTTTTTAAAACTCTGAAATAAATCATGGTAGGATATCGGCTGGATACGAAATCATATTATAAAACGTTCATAAGATTCCACCGCAAGTACTACTGAGCCTATATGTTTTTAAAGTGAGGGACTTTTCAACGATTGTTTGCCAATTTTATGGGTCCGTATTGACGTTCGGCAAGTTGATCAGAAAAAAACAAAAAAAAAACAATTATTTTTGTATTTATTCGTAATATTTGTCCTTTTTTTCTTTTCTACATAATCGCCATTGATTTCAATTCTTCAATTCTTTAAGCCTGGAGATCCACTTCTGAAAACCTGTTTCGAAATCTTGCTTTTTAAGCTTATCAAGTTCAGCATTAACCGAATTAATTATCTCTTTGTTTCTGCTAAAGACCTTTCCTTTCAATTTTTTTATCTTTTGAAAATAACCAGTAATCACAATCACGTATTTCTTCGATACCAAGCAAGATCGCAATAAAATTACCCATTATTTCAGCAGTATGGGATGGCGCGTTGTCATAATGTTAAAAGTAGCGCCGCAAATCCTCTCTTTCTGTTTCCCAAATAAATTTTTGAAAACTTTAGGTGAACACTCTTCGTTTTTCAGTTACCGTCTGACCCTTTTCTAGTGGAATAACAGCTACGGATTTAGATCTTTACTTTTGCTGCTGATTTTTGTTGGTTATATTTTACGGATGGGTTTGCTCCTGTTGCGCTCCATACCATGAACTACTGTTTGGGTTTTGTATCGCACTCATATAACCAATATCCGTTACCAGTATTGATTTTACTAAAGTTACTAAACTGAACATTTTCGAATTTGTTTAGGAAAAATTGAGCGAAATGCACTCGCGACTCTTTTTGAGGCTTATTTAAAATTAGTCGTACCCATAATTCGCGATACAGATATGTCATTTAAGCCCAATCAATTAGCAATCAATTTGGACTTCATCAAGGCTACAGTGAGGTCATCAATGGAAGATTTTAGTCGACCTTCTCGGGGCTTGTCCTCTGCGGAAATATGCCCGGCCTGAAATCTTCGGAAGCACATAGAAATAGTATTTAAAAACGATGCAGTCGTTTCATATGAAACTTGGCATTAACTGAAAATTAGTATTGGCTGTAAATTACGACGAAACTAGAAAATAATCAAATGGCGAATTTCTATTTGCCTTGTTGTTTGAAAGTAACTTATCCATTTTAGCCGATCGTTCTAAAATTTGAAAGGAGGACTAAAGAAATAATTGCAAAGAAAAATTGAAAGCCATCTACTGACCGAACTTTTTTTTTAATCCTCTCGTATATATATATTGGCGCTTTTTAACCTCTGAAGGGGTTTTCGGTCGAGCTCCTCCTGCGATTCGTGATTTGGTCTTGATGTTTTCTCAACAAATGGAGTGACATACAGTTATACTAAGCCGCCTTCGAACTTCTGGGTTTTTTATGTGGATCTTTTATTTCATGTCAGAAATGTACTCGGAGGGGTTGAAATTTCCTGCCGAGGGGCGACTGCAATCAGAAAAATTTACTGAAGTTTTTATTTAAATTAATTAATTAATCCATAACTTTTGAATGTTAGTCGTACCAAGATTTGAACCCGGACCTGCCTGCCGAATGGCAATAGGCAATGCTTACCACTTGGCCAACCGCACAAATTTCATACGGACGTAGCATATTGGAAATTTATATTTCCACAAATAAATGCTGCCGAAAGAGTCAACACGTCTGTGTTGCATATCGTGTAAACGTACGTGAAGGCCAACAAGAAAATGTAAATATATCAGTGACGCATCGTTGCCCTTCGAAGGTTTTGTGGACATCATACTTCGCCAGGAATGTTAATATTTATATCACCGGAGTGTGGTGGGAGTAGTGTACCGCCGAAATTTAAAACAGAGCTCTTAGGTCATAATTTTCAAATTATGTTAAAAATTAGCACGTAAGCAAATAAATGCATCGTAATGAAAATAATAGGGAGTTCGACGTATGAGCTTGTCGATGTCAGTGGGAAAAGGATCGGGATATTATAGGATAAATAAATTTTTAAACCTTGTCTTTGTACATTCTATAGTAAATGTGGCCAATGTACGAAGTCCGATCATGTTTGTGTAATTAGTTGCTTAGCCCTAAGTTTTAATTTATAAAGACGTCATTCCATATGATAATATGGAATATAATATTTTGATATTTTATTTATTTATTATACTATACACGCAAGAACAATTAAGAGGAATAAAACTAAGGAGCCCGGGAGCGCGGGATTTGATCGTGAGTCGAGGTAATACCTTGCGCAACACCCCTCTATGCGGGGCTTTCAGCCTTTCACCTAGCAGCAGTGTGTATGTATGCTGGTGTGCCGCCTGGATGGGAGAGTGATTGTAATAAGAAAAAAAGAAAAAGCGTCTTCGGCCATGCTAAAATCCGTATACCTTTCAAAATTTATATGAATTAACCAAAACGAAATTCCGCTATGAGCTGCTCGGACCCTAATCCTCATATCCGAAAAAATTGGTTGTTTGGGATCTAAATGATATACATAGTCGTCTGATTTGATGACGTTCGATGAAAATATTTATTTTTAGGTATATAATACCGAATTTCATCCTCCTTGGTGTTTTTGACGTAATTTTGATCCAATACCTCGTATCCGTAAAAATCGGTTGTAGGGGGGCCATACAATAATGTATTATTCGAATATATACAAAATTTCATGACCTTAAATGCTTTTTAGACGGATTTTTGACAAAAAATCATGTATATGAGATTTTATAATCATCCGAAATGACATTGCAAAAGAAATAATTTTAAAGAAGTGGATGTAACTTTGATGATGAAAAGTGTCAATATATCAACTGAAAAAAAATTCAGTCAACGACCGCGACAGACATATCTCTATAAATATATAAAGAGATTATCAAAACATTCCTAAGCAGAATAAGGACCGCCAAAATGAAAGAGCTTAGCACGAGAAGAAGGAAGTCATTTAAACACATTTTTCTAAAGTAAAATGCAAACATCCAGCCATCACCGTAAGACGGAGGCCATCCACATCTAATATATAAAAATCTTGTTCCACAGCGTTAGACACGATACTCCTCCGAAACGGCTTGACCGATTTTGTGTGCATATTCAGTAGGTCTGAGATTAACATAACATTTATTTTTCACGCCGGGAAGAAGACCTGGGACTGACCTATTCGAAAATTTTGAATTTATAGTTTGATTTACTTGAAATTTGGTACATAGGTAGCCTTTTGTTTAGTTTGGCAGGAACATTACTCTTATTTCCATGAATAGTACCTAGGACCGATCTAAAAGAATAAATTTTCAAATGTGGGCAAAGGATCACCGAGCAGATATTTGAGTGTCTTGACCTATTCCATAACCCGATAGATGGCATCATTTGTTGACTTAAGCTGCAGCTTTGTTGGAAAGCACCTGCGTTCGTATACGGGATCCATTTCCTTGCATTTACGTGCGTAAAGGCCGAGCAACTCCATATTTAGGGTTCAATTCACTTGAATTTTCTTTATTTTCTTTCGTATGAGTTGCTTGAACTTTTTGCACCTGAAACCGCTTAGTTTAATTTAAGTAATTTTATGAGAATTGCCCATGTTCGCGTGTGGGTAAACCATCTTTCTTGCCTGTTCTTGCTTGCCTAGTACTAAATAGCTTTCTGCTGATCGAGTTCATTCAAATAATTCACCTTCAGATTTCACCTTCAGAAATCAGAAACTATTTTACAAGAGCTATGGCGTTTGAGCGTGGATTGGGGAAGTGCTATTCCAGAGGAGATTTACAACAAATGGTTAGACTGGTATACAGGACTAGATTAGGCTAGGAATCTCATTATCTTTGTAGATGCAAGTGAACTTGCATATTCTGCTGTTCACCCGCTAGAATTGGTGGACGAAGTTGGTGTATCCTTTATAGCCGGAAAATCCCGATGCCGTCCTATTAAGGTATTTTTGATGCCACAGAGTCACAGAAATTTTAGATTCTTCTAGTGTCAACTGGTTGCGATGGATTCCGGGTAAGCAGAATCATGTAGATCATGCGACGCGATTGAATGCGCACGTTTATTCAAATTCACAATGGATACGTGGTCTAGATTTCCTGAAGGAAACTGAGATGGCTTGGCCTGGCCTAACTGATGGTATTCCGGAAAAGAGTGCAAATGTAGAAAAACGCACAAAGTGTGTCTTCGAAATGAATATCGACGAAAAATTTATAGATTTTGATAGATTTCCTAAATATTATAAGCTGCTCCGATAAGTTTGTTGGGTAATGCATTCTGCAAATCTGTCCAAAAGCAACGAACTGTAAGGAGATGAGTATGTTAGCAGGCAAAGAAAAGGTGTCGAGAAATAGTATTACATATTGTTTAATTTAACAACTATAATTGATGAAGATGGGGTTTTGAGATTTTCAGTGCGTATTGAAAATGCTGATTGTGTACCTTTAGACAAGAAAGAGCCGATAATTCTACTGTATAAACATTCATTATCCAAACTTATTGCAATGCATTATCATGAAATTTACAAGCAATAAAAGCATGAGTCAATTGTTCGCGCTATTAGAAGAACATTTTGGTTAACTAACGTACGTAACTTAGTCCGTTCAGCAAAAATAAATTGTCAAACATTCAAAAACCAAAATGCAAAATCTAAAACAATATCTCCCATTTCCAAAATTTCGACTCACTCCGTTTGTTCGAGCACACAGTTATACGGGTGTGGATTTCTTCGGACCATATATCGTAGCAGTTGGCCGTCTACAAGAGAAAAGATGGGTATGTATATTTACATGTTTAACAATAGG